TGAGCAAACACGTACAATTTCATAGGCAAAGCTATAGGATGCACCAATCTGTGAGACTGCTATTGATACTATCTGAGTGTTTAAACAGACTTTGCCGGATGAAATGGGTTTCGCGCTCATGAATCACCCGTTCTAAAATCAGATCATTAGACGAATGAACCACATTTACATAGTGAATTGATAAACAAGTATCGTACCTTGATCTACTTAGCTTGCGATTCTTCCGCTTCAACAAAAATGGTAATCTGAGGCACATTCACTCACATTATGGCTCGGTATACATTTCGTTACAATCAATTATTATAGTAATACAAAAATCAAGGGCATAAAATATATATTCATGATGAAAAACAAGATGGAATTCCAAGAGTATTTCATCTCCAAGAAATCTCATTAAAAAAACTACTATTTACAAAGACATGTTTACAACAGAAGTTAAGGTATCACAACGTTTCATTCTCCTATTTCGGCATATTCAACACGTAAGCGACGACCCAATAGATGTGTAGCCACTCCCAGTGTTTCCAACGCAACCTAAAAAATATAAAATGCACATGAAAAATCTAAATAACACATAAATTTTATACTGTTTGAATAGCGAAGATAAAAATAACCAACTTCGATTCAAACAATGCTGAGAAACTATTCACTTTTGAATGCGATCTATTTAGGTGCATTGTTAAGCTGAGTAAATTAGCCAAGCCACTACTGTTTGTGATTATTATAAGAGTTTTTCACCAATACTTCACCCAAGCTCGGTTGTCATCATTTTCACAACCAACCTGAATCAATATGCACGTATCGAGCGGTTTGAATGGAGCTGCATAAATCTGTTAGCTCCCTTCACGGACTGGAAACAAAAACCAGCAGCTACCTCAAGCGTTTTTCTTTCTACAGCGAACCTAGAATGACATGATATGAACTACTGTTATGATCTGATAACTGTAAACGAAATGGTTCAGATAGTGATAAAGAAATCGCTATTTCTAACTTCACAATACGGTGTCTGTTGTCTAACAACATAAAATAGCAGTTGTTCTCGCTACTACAATAGGTTACATCAGACATTTTAGGTTCAGCCTTCGACGATGAGGACCAATTAACAGTTACAAACCAAAGTATATCACCCAGTCAGCACTTACTGACTTTCAGAGGTCCTAACTTCCGATAATTTCAACATATCATGTAAACTACCGATTGATCCATAGAGTTTCTGAAGTGACTGAGTGAAATCACAAGAAATGCGTGGACGGTAATAATGCAATAATACGCTAGGAACGGATACGAATAGCGACTGTGCTCATTCAGCCCTTTATGCTTTACTGAGTCCCGAAAATATCAAGGACAAGGTGATAGGAACCGTCGTAAATGGAAATCAACATTTCAAGTCACCGGTGGCTAAGGTAGAAGTTTTTGTTGAGACACTTAAACTGCATACGAATAGCGAAAAAAACTTCTACCTTAGCCACCGATGACTTAAAATGTTGATTTCCATTTACGACGATTCCTATTACCTTGTCATTTACATCTTCACGACTCAGTGAAGTATAAGGTACTAGGAAAGAGTAGTCACTATTCGTATCCTGTCCAAGTATCTCAATGCACTAATTAGCGTTCTCATCTCAATCGGTGATAGATGTTAGTTTTATTTCTCCATGTCCATTTCACTGGATAATCTCAACTTTTTTGCAATTCCAACTAGCTCAAAATAAGGCATCTCAACTAAAGTTCATCAAAGCTCTGACATGGAAGTTGCTAATTCAATCACAGTTAGCATCTCATTCAGACTAACATGAAAGCATTTTCGATTCTATCAATGAGTTAAACTACGATCCAATATCTCATCTCATATTTGATTCATAGTTTAGTCCATATGAAGACGATTTTAGTACTGAATGTTCCTTTTTTCATGATGCATCCACAGTTAGATTATCATTACGAAAACTCGTTACCACCGAATATAATAAATATCAATTTTATTCTGCTGAGCGATTCTCGTGGACTGTCATTTGATAAAACTGTCAATATTCTACCTCAACTTTCTGGTGAACAGTCCTCCTTATTTAATATTCGATATCGATACTAGTAAAGCCAATCGTTAAAGTGGACTATTCAAAGCCAACGAAATGAAATCCAACCATTTTAAATGTCTGATTTTTATTTGTGATCTGAAGACGCTGATGTTTGAATCAGAATCTTGTCACATGTCGAACAGGATCCCGAAATGACTTTGCTGTTGGTGACAACAAATTGTCAACGCTTAATCGAATCAAAGCATGACACAACTATGGTATTTTGTTAAATTCTGTCCATTTAAAAAGCACAAATGCCGACAGTGTCATCATTTTGGGCATAAAGGTTGCTTTTCTCTAAAGAAAATTACTTCCATGAAGACTATACGTCCTTTTTTCAAATGCAAATCATCGAGCCAAGTTCAAAGCATTTTTCGATTTTCAACGTTGATTATGGGAGTAAAATAAAGTACGTTAATCTATCGGTTAATAATGAATTAATTCGCCTCCAACCCGATAGAGCGACTGATATAACCTCGATTTCACGAAGCACTTTGCGCACACTTGGGTATCCACAGGTCCAGCCAACTAAATACCCTGATAGAAATGCCTCAGATGTGCTAAAACTCGTTGGCGAAATTAGCTGTTATGTCCAGTTTGAAGAACAAAAATTCAATGATGTACGTTATCTTACAAATCGACAAGATTTAAACCTGCTCGATTTGGGCTGGATACATAAACTGGATATCGTAAATGTTCCACTGAATTCAGTATGTTCTCATATGTCTGATGAATCTCTACTGGAACGCTTACTTCATAAGCATGCATCAGTTTTTCAGGACAAGCTCGGCCCGGCTGATGTAAATGTATTTTGCTTTTAAAGTCAAATGCCAAAACATTGTTTCGTCCGAAAAGTCCAGTTCCCTATGGCGCAATGAGTATGGTCGACAATAAGGCTGATAGATTCAAGGCATTGGGTGTCCTCCGACCAGTTACGTTTTCTCCATGAGCTGCTCTAATAGTGGTTGTCCGCAAGGCAAATGGTTCTATTCGCTTATATGCGGCTTTTTCCACCGGTTTAGAAGATCCTTTAGAAAATCGTGCTTATTCACCGCCTATACAAGAAGACTTATTTGTCGAATTTAGTCGCGGTAAGTGCTTTGCTAAAAATGATTTTTCAGATGCATATCTTTAAACTGAAATCGAACCGAGTTTCAGAGAGTTGTTGACAATACCCATAGAGGACTTTACCAATACATTATATTCATCTACATTTCGGTGTTAAACCAACACCTGCTATCTTTTAGCAAATCCTGGACACAATGCTTGCCAACTAACCTGGAGTTGCAGTCTTTCTAGATGATGTGATTATAACAGCTGCTAGTAAGTTTGAGTTATTTGGTTGTATTGATGTTGTACTACCGAAAATATGTGAGTATAGGTTTTTATCTTACAGCGGAAAAGTGCACATTTTTCTAAGATTCAGTGAAATATCTTGGTTTTATCTCTGGTAAACATGTATGTTGACCAGATCCAGAAAGTGTACATGCTATTCAGAACATATCTTATCCATCCATTATGGTAAATCTAAGATCATTCCGTAATCTCATATGGTTTCTACATAAAATACAGGCCAGCTTCTGAACTTGGTCAGGTAGATGCACTATCACGTCTGTTGAGAAATAGGAAGTTGGAGAATGATGATATACGTAAAACCATTGTGAAAGCAGGTCCACTACTGCCAGTTACTGCACCGTATATTACTACCTACACTCTACGTGATCCAGATCTGCGACAGGTTTCAAAATTTATCTGATGCGGTTAGCAGCCGAATGTTCTATTCCCATGAACTACATCAGTTTTATCAACGATATTAGTTCTTATCCATTATTAACGACAGCATAATGTTTGCAGATCGGGTGAGTGGTTTCTGCTATTATCTGAAGCTATGTTCTCCACCAACTTTATTTGTTTCATCCTGGTGTGGGTAGGATGGAATCAATTCCCCGCAGCTATGTATACTGGCCCAACATTGATGAAAACTTTAAAGATGTTCGTTTGTATCGCAGATGTGTCCAAGAATTCAAGTGCCTAAGTGAGATAGAACTATGGGTTTGGACACCACAAATGAAACCATGTTCTCGAGTACACGTTGATTTTGCTGGATCATTAAACAGTACAAATTCCTTGATGTGTCAGTGCATATTCGAAATGATCAGAAGTTCAACCAATGCAGTGTATAATGTCTAGTGAAACCATGGTTCAGTTGTGTCAGCTACTTTTCGTTTTGGTATCCCTGGTGTGCTGGTAAGTGACTATGGGACTCAGCTCAGTTTACATCAAGTGTTCTTTGGTTTTTGAAATCAGTTTTGCATTCAACATATTTGTGCTCCTCCATATCATCCTCAATCAAATGGTCAGGTAGAACGATTTGTGGATACATTCAAGCAAGCTTTAATAAAGGCAATGAGGGAAGGGACGACGAGGAAATATCGAATAATTGTTCACTGCTTTACCGTATGACACCTAATCCTTCAGCCTCGAATCAGTTATCTCTTGCAGAAATCATGCTTGGTGGAAAATTTAACTGTCCTTGATGCAATTAAGCCTAAGCAAATTAAACAAGGGCAAACGAATGCGAAAATGGAAAATCAGTTCAATCATGACCACGTAGGTAAATGACAAGTCTTCAAACCAAATCAGCAGGTTTACGTGCATGATTTTGGTTATTCTTCACCAAAGTGGGCATATAGGAAAGCAACTGGATGTAAAAAAGTGCTCTGTACAAAGCGAATCTAGAAGGAAAGACATGGATTAAGAATGTAAACCACATATGACCTCCGGCATACACATCAGACAACAAGAAGCAAGGTTCTATGCTTGAAGTTTTGTTGGATACTTTTTATATGACACATATGGGGGCGAAGGTAGCACATTCCAGCTAGAGGGTTAGTTCGACAAAGAAGTCCAAAGTGTTTCCAAGTAGATCCGAAATGAAAGCAATACACTTTTTACGGGGAGATGATAGGAAGCTACCTAAATGGAAATTAACATCAACAGGCTAGTCTTTTCCTTCTGATATTTTCATGACTCACTGAAGTATAAGTTACTAAGGGAGGACAGTCAGTATCGGTATCTGGTCCAAGTGTCTCATTGCGTTTGCATCGTCCGTGTATTTCTTATTATTTCACTCAGTTACTTCACAATGACTGACCTGTGACTGTAAGGAAGATAACTTATTCAATAAAATACATCATTTATGCAGTTTTCATTAACAAATAAAACCACTGGGTCAAAAGTTAAGTAACCTGTTCTGGTTGGTCAACTGTAGGATAAAATTGTCTAAAACATTTTTCCTAACCACCCAGGAGCACGAAACAAAAAGTGAAATACAAAAACTTCTGCGGCTGGTGAATTAAAGTGTTGATTTCCATTTAGGTCACTTCTGATCAGTTTGTAAGGCCATCAGGAAAATACATTAGTTCGTGTAATCCAGAGAACACCAGTATAATTACTTCAAGTAGTCGGGTGGTTTTACGTATAAAGAATTAGTAGTTATCTCTAAGAAGAAATAAATCACATTACTTTGTTTAGAATAAGTAGTTCATAGTGAAAACACTGGAAAAGCCACCAAAAAAATATAAAATCGTTTTCAAGCATTCAACAACTAACCTTAGCTTTATCTAACGTGTCAAACTCAATAAATGCAAATCCACGATGCCCACCCGTTGCCTTTTTCGGTAGTCGAACGTTGATAAGACCTCCTACTGGTTGGAATAATTCGACTAGCTCTTTCTGTGTAGCTTGGAATGGTACATTACGTACAATAAGAACATTATTCAATTGTTTTGATGATGGCTTCCGAGTAATAACTTTTTCCTGTTCATTATTACCAGTCCCGTGTGTATTTTTCTTGGATTGTAGATGTATAAAATTTTCATCATCGCCATTATCAATAAACTTAATCTTTTTACTTTTATGTATGACAAGATTGTTATTCGCCTCCAATTTAACTGACTCTTTAGTTTGTTGTTCAATCCTTTGCTTTTTATTCAAATATTTCTTTATTTTGCTGGGCTTTTCAGTTTTAACTGGATTGCTATCATCTTCAAGAGGTGGTTCGATTTCTTTTTCTTCATGTTTCTTTTTCATCAACTTGTGTTCATCTGTGGGAACGGATGTGACTAGTTCGAATTCTGAATCAGATTGCCTATGAAAATACAATGAAATGGACAATATATACAGGTAATGAACTCCATAATAAAGAGACGAAATGCCAAACCTGAGCTATGTCGTATCTAAAGCCCCTCAGCAGGTATCGTAGTCGTTACTGAAGCTTCGACCAAGTGCTCAAAACTAGGAATGCTAGAGTCATAACACTCCGTTAATAGATTGACATAACCATTCAGATAATAGATGTTAGATAAATTTGCCGTATAATTAATTGTTTAGTTAGTGGGATGAGTTGATTGGTCCCGCTTGGATATACAATCTCATTAGAGCAAAATGAAAATCTCTGAGAAACTACGTGTATTCTCATGCACAAGGCAATGAGCCACATTTATTGTGACAGTTGATGATACTATCTGGCTGTCCTAACTTCGGCAGATAGATCAGAGTTCAAACACGCAACCTATTGGCTGAAAGTCTAGTCCCAAGACCAGTGAGCCACAACTCCAAATGATAGTCCCATTTCCAATCTGTGGATCCTAATACACAAGAAAGCTTTGAATAAACGGAATGTTCTATCCTCCAAGCCATTATTACGTAAGCTTACCAATTATGTGAATTCAGACTGCACTCAGATGCATACAAATAACTGAACCAGGATAATACAGAGAAGTAGTTATCTATACACACCAGCATCCTAAAAAGGAAGTATGAATTTCGCATTGGTTATTACACTAATGTCAGCCTAGCTTTGAAAGTAATATTTGTATAATACAATGACGATTCAAAGCATAGGGTGGTTACAGAATATGGTCAACAGTTCATTTTCAGCATTCGTAATATGCAGTAGAACCACCAGTTGAAATTACTCAAAACCCAGTAAAACGATTAAGACGTACCACACAAAGGTGACGATCACCAATAAAAAAGTGAAACTGTCCAAATTAGATATAGGGTATACGAAATTTTACGATGGGTAGACTGAAATATGAAACTACACATTGAAATTGTTGACTGACATATGACTGACCTTTTAAAACAATAGCGTCAAATATCAAGTTACTTATTCAGTTGCATCTGCAGCTACTTTCATTAGACCGACTGAAATGTGACCATCAATCTCCATAAAATAAATGAAGCTCCCTAGCGTAGTTAAAAAGGATTTACGTAGACAAAGGTCTTAAAACATGAATCACACCTTTAAGATTAAAAAAGCAGTTCAAAGTGACGTTTAAAAGGAAATACGTTAGAGACTCACTCAATTTTCACTTCTTCAACAGATGAATGTTTACGTTTCACCTTAGTTCGCTTTTTGGAAGTAGTTTCTTCTGACTCTGCTTCTTCGTTATGCATTCTATCTACAGATGCAGGTTTTAAAGCTCCATCTGGTAACCATTGTAAGAACAGAACACTGTCTCGAAACTAGGGGGAATAATTGAGGAAATATGTGAGAAATTGGATAACTTATAACATATTTTTTCTAAGAAGTATAATAGCGCAAATCACGCAAATGTGAACTGACTCTATGAAATATAACTGTTAAAAACTAGCAAATCGTGCACTGCAGGAACAAAAGTTGCTGGTTATGTTTGGGACTGAGTTGTTTCAAGTCTTACTAATTAATTCCTAAAGTTTTTTTGAAATAAATTCACTATTAGCGAACAATAATAAAGTTTGGTAACAATGGTTATCCAATAGCTTCACTACCGACCAATCAGTCGCCTTCCAATTTCAATTATATTTAATTTGACCCAGTAAAATAAGACCCAACTGGACAACTAACATGAATTAGATAGACAAAAAGCAGCATAGGAAAATGTGCAATCATTCATGAAATGATCGGAGTTAGCTTTTCATACCAACACACCGACGTGGTAGCCACCAAGAATAAGAAGACAATAAAATAAAAACAACATCATGAGTAGTCAGACAAAGGCACGGGTGTATCTAATATCGGTTCTGTACCTAAACTTTTCACGCATCCATTGTAGTTAGTACGTCGATCACAATCACAGAGTTTACAATATCCAACACAGCTGAGACTACCAATTACAAAAATCATGGGTCAGCGCTACACCTCTTCTGATCTTGATCCAGCTAGTATAACCTATTAGGATAAAACTGTAGCTCATTATGTGAAACACATGTCAGCGTTGACACTAATGTACGGTACACTTAGTCCTCGACAGAGCTTGAGAATTGCTACTATCAAGAGTCGAATCTAAATGCATTCAGCAACCTTGCACACATTTGCGCAGTAGGCTATAAGCGAGACCTATTGCTTGAGGGCTAATGATATTACTACCTGGCTGCCCTAACCTCGATAGGTGGGGCGGGATTCAAACCCGTGACACAGTTGGAAGTCATATCTCTCAACCAATGATCCACAGCCCTATATTCCCAAGAGAGGCCCAAATTAATAACAACTGATTGAACTCTTTCCACTTCTTGAAGGGTTTTGACAGTCATTAACTACGAACCCCACCAACATTGGTGTGACTTCCCAATTAAATGGATTGATCGTGTTCTCTATTGCATGACATGACACTGATGAGGGCCAATCCTTGGTCGAAATTCTGCGTGTAGAAGGGTAGGAAGGCATCTATAACTTAGTTTTAAGAAAAGGTAGATGATGTCGGTATCTTTACCTAACAGAACTAGTCAGCATCTAGCCCTAATTTTTGGGACAGAAATAGGATTTTGTGTTCGGATGGCAATAGACGGTTATCTACTAGCTGTTTTACTGAAAAGTAGGATCGAACTCAAAAACATCATATGTCCCGACGTCTCTACTGGTTTCAGTCTAAAGCGTGAAATAAATGCATTTCAGGCGAAGAAAAAAGTGAATCCTATTGAAATCTGTTTAGTATCCACCAAAAGACCAAACGTGCAAACCTCATCGTAGTAGTCGATTGTGATGCCAAAGTATAGAAGCTAAAAGGGAAGGAAGTACACTTTCCCCATATTCTTATTTTTCGGAAGTAGATCTTACTCTTGATACTTATCAACTTGCCAAAACCCTGGAATCTCGAGGGCCACTGATATATACTATGTTTCTGAGGTACGCATACAGAAACCATGTTTGATTATTTACTTGGCCTGGTCTGGTTAGTGTGGAGAACGGATACAATTAGGGGAACTCAATATGGTGGGTAGGAACAGTATGTCGAAGCAGATAAAAATGTATGAAAAGAAAAGGGATGAGCAATAGGAAGTTAATAAAATGTTCAAAAATAACAAAACATGTCTACATCTGCGCAACTATACAAAGCCAAAAAATGGGAAACGTGAATCTCGGATAAGTGTCATTCGTCATATTTTCTATTCATCTTAAAAGTTACTCTACTTATGACTTAATTGACAACGTTATTGTATGGTTCGGTTCAAGAACCTCCGATTAACACCTCATCCATTCATGTATGACTTATATTTTGGAAATAACTGCATGTTAAGTCCATTATTGTGAATTATTTAACGTTTTATTAATCTGGGCGACTGGCAGAGAAATCCAGGGTGCGTGTTTCGTCCAATTTGGGACTTGTCAGCTGAATGTGCCTGCACCCCAGTGAGTGATGTTGTTCTCATCAAGGTTCGGACCCAGTACTCTCCGCTTCAAACGCCAGAGCGTTATCTACTAAGCCACTGGGGCATGATAGCCACCTATTGTGCAACGGGCATCATTACAATACCTAACGTTTTGTTTCTAGAATCAGTTGTTTCATTTTTACAAATTGTGATGCGTTGACGTCAGGTAATTTAGTTGCATGTACAGATGAGTCAGATTGCCTAAAATATACGGACAATAAGCATCTGACTTTGTGTTCTGTTGAGTGCTGTGGGGAGGACCGAATTGTGCTACTCATCGTGTGGGAGAATTGAGTATACGGCACTGGGAAAGCATATACGAGACCAATAACATCCAAGGTTAGCGCTAAGGCTGAATCAGTAGAACCATGTGAATCAAACAATCACAACCAAACAAAGTTATAGCAAATTAATGACAGGGCTGACTCAGGAATATGAGGATTTGAGTCATATCACCAAGTTTCCAAACAGTGATGCCTACAACCTGGAGGATCACAACGAAGTAGTCTGCACATCTATAAACCCACAACATACGTCCAAGTTACCTGACCTGCTTCAGGTGAACAAAAGAATTTTCCTCGTTGCCTGGTACTTTATAATCAATCTCAAGCTTGCTCACCGTGGTTCCACCATAAACAAAGAGTGAACCGGCAACACATGATCAAAAGTTTGTAACGTTCCCAACTCTTCTATCTCCTAAGACGATCGTAATAGTGAACAGGATGTTTTAACTTAAACACAGGTCACTTTGCAAAGCAATAATAACCAGATCCATGGATTACAGTTCCTCATAGGAATTTTAGTAAGTGAAAATACTTTAAAATACTATAGTAAATCAGTGACAGTAGTCCTTTAAACGCATCTAAAAAAATTGCATACCGGCTCATATGCAAGTGCTTTGTACATCAACCGAGCTTGTTGAGAGTGAGCATATTCTACAATGGCAGTGATACCTAGAGGAGGCACCAAAACACGTTTTAAACCGGATCGAATTGAAGGAATATTTGGATCAGTATCCTTAGCGCTTTTGGTATACTGCTTCAGCAACTCACGAACTTCACACTCAGTTGTTCCAGCTGGCAAATTTTTGATTAAAAACGCTGTCCCTGATAGCTGACGGATGGTTGACTTTGACTTTAACTCTAAACGATTACGATGACCTGACGCCTCAGGAACAATAGGATTATTTCCTGTTTCTTTCAAACCACCTTCATCATTATGTTTTTCAAAAGCCTCCAACCGCACACCATGAATTTGTAGAAATTCTTTCATCTCAGCAATTAACTGGGTTTCACCATGAGCCAATCTTACAGCAACTGATTTATTACCTGATGGATCCAATACTTGTTCCTAGAAAAGAAAAGGAATACAGAATTATGTAAAATTTTTAGTTGTCTCAAAAAGAAGCAAGAATATTTCAAGTCTAGTATACACAAATGAACCTGTTGGAAATAGGTATGTCAAACCCATTCACATGCAGATCGTCATAAAAGAACTTACTTAAATGCATATGGAAAGCAGGTAAAACTTTATAGAGCAAGTGATATGAAACCAAACCGTGGGGTTAGAATTTTTGCACAGCATTATTTAGATACTTTATGCTGATTACTGAAATCAGTTGTAAGTAATAAAACGTTAACATGATTGAACAACCACACGAACAAAGCAATGAGTTGTACTTACTGTGTGAGAGTTAATGGTTGTATATATCTTTCCATATCTCGGTAGATAAAGTAGGATTTGATGCCACGAACCACTGGGTGAAATTTGGAAGCCAAAACCAATAGTTAAATTACGCATCCCTAACTAGTCACTCACCTTTTCGTCCAGATAAATGAATAGTATGTAGTAGTCTGCTTGATGGCTAGCAGTGAAATCTATGCCGCAAGTTTCGTCCTATTTGGGACCCGTCATGCACCCGCACACCAGTAAGTGATGTTTTTCTCACTGAGATGAGAATCTATTATCCATCGCTTCAAACGCCAAAGCGTTAGCTGCCAGGACACTGTCGCATGAGAGCCATATATCATATATATCACATATATCAGTTGTTGTTTGGTGCTTTTAATTCCCCGTTACTATACTGAGTCAAATTGTTCGACTTCTGTTGGCGATTCGATCCAGTATGGTAACAGGGAACTAGAAGTATCAAACGACAAACAAATACTATCGTTAGTTCTCTAACTTTGTGTGACCCTTAAAATAAGAATGCAGCTTTGTACAAGGTCGTTAAAATGTACTGTAACTTAATGTTAATATCATATTTATAACGACAGTTTTGAGTCAACAACCCTCTTGGTCGTTAATTTTACTTTCTCTAACACGGGTACCCAAAAGATTTCATCTTTGTCAGGAAACAGGCATCTTCAACACACATTTAGCAATAAAATAATCCATTCCAATCACTCTCAGACCTTTGCATTCATTGCCGTCATCATCTTGTACTTCATTGTAATTACTGCTACTAAGTCATTAGCTTATGTGAACGAATGATTCGTAATGAAAAGATGTCAAGAAGGCTACAAACTAGTACAGTAGTAACAGTGGATGACAAAAGACAAAACGTTAACGCTGATGAAACTGCATCCGCATTTCTCCTAAATCTTGTAAAGGTTACCATCCGAACTAACTAGCCTAATACGGAGTAGTAAATGAAACTGTAACCAAATAACAACTGGTGGATAATAGTAATGACAAGAATCTAAATATGCCTAAAACATCTTTTAATTCATTTGCCTTCTCAGAGACCACAAAAACATGTACAATATGGTGTCAGTCTATAGGCCATTCGTTCCAGAGTGTACCATAGGTTTTAAAGCTGTTCTGTAGTCCGAGGTATTAGATTATGACTCATTTGTTGTAAGGGCTACTGAGTTGCATTTATGCGAGAAAATGAATAGCTGAATCACTATATATTGTTAAAGTTTTAATGTTTAATGAATTAATCCGAACTGTTATCATTCAAAAGTGTTCAGTGTATTAGGTAGTAAGTTATGAAAACCTATCGACTGAATATGATATCTCAGAAAACTAATAACTGGCTTGTAACTCGTAAGTTTATTACAAATTTACAACAAATTTACACAAACATTAAAGTCTCACCATGGTTAGACCGAATTTAGCAGCTAAATAAGTAGCAACAGCGTCTGGTCGAATAAACAACGCATTCCAGTTATGTCCTACGTTGGAACTCTTTTTTAGATCTTCAAAGCGACCACTCTTGAAACTAGACTGTAACATTTTTGAAGGATTAGATAAATTTCCATCTTCTTGGACATTACTTGACGATTTACCAAAAGTACGCTTTGGTTCTAAGCATTCCTGACCAGGAATGATATGAATTAGTCTGCCCTAAAAACACCAAAAAATGGAACTAGTTTAATTACAGATAAATAAACAAACGCACGAGCTAGTAATTATCGAATGCTGGAATATTTATCATGTAAGTTAGCCTGTAGCCGACTTTTAAATCTCATAGTAAATGTCAGACTGATAATTTTGAAAACACAAGGAAAAAACTAAAGTATATCAATGAATGATAACCACAAATCAAAAGGAGACCTAGTTACACACTGGGTTTATTGAAGGGAAGTAGTTTAGCCTCAAAAATAAAACTGCGAGTTAATGAAATTATTTTACACCTACTATTGTGTGATCATGATGAGTGAAGGATAATGTTGTGACGATTCGGTACGTTGGCTTATAAAATCAAATTTAAAGCAGTTTCCTGGGTTCAAATTACTCTCCTACTTCGGCCTGGACGATCAGGTAATGTCTTCACAAAACAAGAGTGGCTTAGAGTCTATTACATAAAACATACACCGAGTTACATTACATTATTTAAAGGATGATATTGATACTAAGTACAAACAGCACAGGTTTAAATAAGAAAGCAAGCTACTTGGAAACGTTCATTTCTACTTTGAAATCTTAGAAATGTCATTATTATACCTCACATATCATAACCTTATACAAACAAATAATCTGTAACTTCACTGTGTACGGATTTTCGGATCCATTTTTTACCTCCTTTATTTACTTTAGTACATTTCGTGATCATTGAAAAGATTACTGCCATGGGATTTGGAAGAAATTAACACTCTTGAGCATAACGTCATCATGAAGTGAAGTTTTTTGTGAATAATTGAAAGTTAGTTATATATGTTCTTGAGTGTTAACTGACTTACCACATTTCAACGTAAACCCAATCAATTAATATATTTTAGTATGAATACACAAATCGTTTGTCAAAACTTTATTGAGCTTATTCAACCCAGGAGTATGACAGTTAAAAAAAAGTTGAAAGCTTCGGAGTGGTTCTTGACTTCGAGGAGCTTATCGCTGACAATACAACGTAATGGGCAAAATAATACAGACTTTTTCTCAGTTATCCATTGGAAGATGAAGACGACAAAGTTATACAAGAACCGGATTCACATTTGTGTATTGAACAATTGGTTGAACCTAGCTGGTCAAGATTCATTAATTAGAGCAGGATCAACCGGATGAGTCGGGAATTTAGACCAACGAACCATAACATCTTTATAGTGATGAATACGTACTCAGGAGGAATATCACTGACTATGTTTTGACAGTCAATATCAATTTACAAGTGAAACCTCAAGTTAGACTCTTACAAACTTCTAGTTTGCTCAGGTAGACAGAGATAGACAAAATTAACGTAGAACCAACCACATAAGTGAGTCGGTTCGAGATACTACACTTAACAACTGCATGCAAAGAACGAGTGGATAGAAAATGACTGACATCAAAGTAGACAAACGTGTATGAGGGGAGACGGAACTTAAAAATTAAGGTTAGTGAAAATGTTCGAACTTTAGATGTTAAACAGTGAATACATCTGCACCCCTGTGACCGATTTTCAGCCATATCGATAAAGGTCTCCAACCACTGATCCCTACTATCTCGAGGACCCCATCCAGACAGTTCACAACTCCCCAAATGGCTAAAACTAACAGTCAGAAGCGTCATGCACTTGCGCCACGTCATCGTCTGGCAACCTTGAGCTTTCTTTCAACCTAGTCCTTCTTCCAGAACTGCAGGTCAAGGTAGGTGGCATGCGCAACAACAAGCAATCTCAACACCTGAAGGTTCAAAACATCATCGATCGGCTTCTTTGCCTAATACCTTTCGCCCAACATATATATTGCTCACGTGATCCCACCATAATCTAGCAGTGCTACGAAGACACCTATGTTCGAAAACCTGTAATCTCTTCATATATACTTTTAATGGCCGCCTCACAGCTACATGAGACAGGATGCACTGCTCGTTTTCACAAGACTCATACAAAGTACATAAGAATACTACACCCGGCTACAGTCTTGCATAAGAAATTAGCACTTCAAAGACAAAACTGTTAGGTGATCATTTCCGTAGGAAAGTGCGTACAGTTAGCATGACCCATCCTTAAGTGCAGAAGAACTAAGTAATGGCCATAAATTTCAGCATCAACCAAATTAACACTACTACTTTCTACTTTTACTTCCTTGGACAGATTTTTCTTTCCCTCTTCGTCTTTGTTTTATTGTCTTGTTACTTGATGTGCTGATATGAAGTGTGACACCTTGGATTATTTTACAGTGAGTGATGCCTAATCCTATGCCGATCGTGATGAAGGGTTGGAAGGGATTCAGGAAAATACCGATCTATTACCACTCGATCAATAATAACCTAGTTATTCGATTAAATATCAGTTAGTGTGCATCACATCATTTATCATTGGTGTCATTATGCCTCATAATCACAGTTTATGAATTCAAAACAAATAAATATTATAGCCTAATCAATCTCATACTTGCCTAGTTTTCTTTACATGTCTTTTTGCTTTCTTTATTGTCTTTTAATGCACTTGAAAGTGATGACTGTCTAATATTCCATGCGGTAAAAGTCGTAATGTAGCTAAATAGTTTGTCAAATTAATCTTTCTTCAATTTCTCCCCAAGATCAACACAAAATGTGACTGATCAACAACCTGAAGGTTCGCTGGATAGGCGAAGTCACACTCATTGCATGACCGCTAGTAATAGGATTTGACTGCCCAAAACTCGATAGGTGCAGTAAATTTCAAACATACCAACCGCTCGCATATGAGTCACATAGAAATCAATACAAACCGCACTTTTGAAACGTTACAACCAACAAGCCTTTGTAAAAATGGAGTCGGAGAAATACTATACGTATTTTTTGAACCCTACTACCAATTTTCTAGAAGGAAGACGAGACACTTGAAAGATGAACAGCGGAAACAGGCTAAATATCAAAATTGGTCAGACTGTTAGTCAGTACCGGCACGGGACTTTGCATTACTGTAAAACGGTTTATTTTGTCAAATCTCATGTCAGGAAATCAAACAAGAATGCACCAAGATGAAAAAGAGAAACAAGAAAGAAGGCAATCAACAGTAGGAAGTCTTGATAAGAGAACCAGGAGGAACAAAACAACTAAGAATCTCGAGATGGCCATTCGGAGGCAGAGTGTATGGATGTTTCCGCGCCACTGACTTCGATTCTGCACCGTATCACCTGCAACCACCGGCTTCTGCTGTCACGCACACGCTCAACTCAAAAACTTACATTCTCCTACATGACTCACACGGTCAGACAATTCATGAACTAATGACATGGTCCAGTCTGCTTACCTCTATCCTTTATCCAGCCTGAACCTACATCAGTCAACATTGTGAGACGAGACAAACAATAAATAGGCATGCGTAACACGTCCCAGCCACCCCAGTCGACGAAGGTTCACAACCTCATCAACTAACTCTACTCTTCTGCACAAACACCCAACTTCTACATTATTGATGTAGTGGCACCACGATATATAACCTTTTATGGAAGCAACGCTGGTTGGACACCTGAAACCTTCTTGTCTTTCATCTTTAGTGGTCATGTTTCACAGCCGTATTGCAGAACAGTACACTCACCTCTCAGTCGATATTATACAGGTGCCGCATATGATGTAAGCTGAAGAAAGCCAAGACAGATAAAATCAACGTAGAACCTCCCACACAAGTATATCAGTTCAAGCTGCCACAGTTCACAGTAGCATTACTCTATCGAGCTTTCCTAGTTCGTAAAATTGCAAGTATTTTAGAATCCTAGGTAATTTGATGGGACATCAACGCTTAAACCTTTGTTTCATTGCTGAAAGGAGCATTTGGGTAGTTAGAGCTGACAAATCGCATGTACCATGGAAAGACACTTCTTAAAACAACAGAAAAAATGTATCTTATCGACCCGGCAGTGATCGCGAATACGAGGGACGGCTGGTTGATTTCGTTTGCACACAACTTGTTGCAACAGTAGTGCTGCAACCCAATTTAGTACTACCTTTTTTGCAGCGAAAACCTAACTAGATAGTGAAAACGTCAAGTACAATAACACATAATAACTCAATATACCACTTTCTCTGCATTAAACTCGAAATTATAGTAGGATAAAACTGATGACACACATGTAAGCAGAAGTGACATACTACGCAATGAAAATCTAGCCAGATTAGAAAAATTTACTTTTAAAATTGACAAATTCAAGTGACAAAATGCACACCATAAACTTAGTCTTATCCAGTGACTTGTAAGCTTTCACCGCATCAGATGGAAACAGAAACGTAATAAAGGCAAAGCCTTTAGATATCTGTGACCATGAGTCGAAAGCCAAGTGAATATCCGACAGAGAACCTAGAAAGTACCAAATGTAATATGGATAGGAACTAACCGAAGGGAGAAAATAGCTTCTCGAGGTCTTGCTCGGTACAGTTGTAGGACAAATTCCGCACAAAAAGTCGACCTGTCTGCAGCCAAATTATATCATACAGTTTATTACCTCCAAAATGGCCGACACAACATCCTCACTCGTCTTAACTGGCCAGTTGGGTTTTTCAGAACTCTGGAAGTTACAGATTTTTCCTTTCTCTCGAATATGTTCCGAAATTTTCACTGGTCTTCCGTAGATTTCACCTTTCTTCTTGAGAGCTTCACAGAGATCCGCGCTATTTCGAAAATATATAATACCCATTCCTATAATAGTAGTTTTAAGAAGCATCATACCATTTTTGATAACTCTAAAATCTTTGATTCTCATCGGTTTGAAAAACTTCTTGACATCTTTCTACAAGCTGTCATAACATAAACTATTTCACTTACAATCCTCACTTCACGACTAAGTCCTTTGATTTTCGCAGCATGCACAACACTCTCATGAACCATAGTAACGTAGTGACCGATTTAAGCGCTTGGGAAAGTACCGACCTTCTAATGTTCAGATGTCTCAAACGGCTATTGGAGAAATCGAAGAAGCTTTCGCTTAACTGGCTTTCGTGTCTAAAGTCCATGGATTACTGCTTTTTGTGGTTGTTAACTTGTGTACAAGTAAAGAGAGGAAACAGTGGCGGTTAAAATGTCAAGGTTCAATTAGTTGTGGGCAGATTCCAGTCACGTGTCAAATAAGTATACAGTAAGCGTCTAAGGGATTCAGGTGAAGTAGCCAGGATTTCCAGAGCTTAACGATTCTTAGGGAATAGAAGTTTTGCCTGATATCTAACCTGCTATGTGTCCAGGTTTGGTTTCTGTACATATCCTCCATGGTTAGTACTACAGCCAAGATTCACTAAGTGACGTAGTGGATGTTCAGGTGTACTCAAGGTGTGGTGAGTCATTGGTAAGCCTCCCCCCAGCCTCCTGTGTTCCGGGGGATACAGATCTAGAGTGACCAGTCGTTCTTCGTATGGTTTAGATCTAAGTCCTCGAACAAATTTCGTCTAGTGCCTCTGGATGATTCCCAAGCTTTATTTGTCCTTCTACAGAGAAGGAGGAAGCCGATCGTCCTGGACTGCAGGTGAGGCCCTATGAAGCCTTTGAAAACTTGGTGAAAGCATCTACGATAGAATCGCTAGAAAGTTCGTCTGAGAGTTACTGACGCCAAGTTTCCGCGAAAAGCTTTTCTCTCGAGGTTGGCATAGGATTTTAGGTCTTTAAGAACCGAAACGCCCAAATCCACTTCGGTCAACGGCGCCCGAAGTTCCATACCGTTGAGGCCATATACATGAGGTGCATCGTTTTTTGCGCGCGTCACCTTGCATTTCTCAGGATTAAATGCGAGCCCGTATTTAACCGCCCAGTTTTGAAGTCGAGTTAAATCTTCCTGTGAAGAAACACTGTCCTTCTCACTTTTGATTTCCCTCAATACTTTCACGTCGTCTGCAAAAGGAAGGATTTCGGAGGGAACCTGTTGAGGCAGGCCGCTTATGTGCATTAGGAAAAGAGGAGGCCCTAGTACCGAAGCCTGGGGAACACCGCTAGGGCATTCATTCTCTACAGACCTCTAAATGAACTGCCCCGCAAGCAAAAAGACAACCAGTCAACGAGCGGCTATCGTATTCCGATTAATTTCAATCTATCGATAAGGTGGCCTGGGTAGATAACATCGATTCGTCCACGACAGTCAATAATGCTAGTCCATTTATCTACTGCAGCAAGCAGATTAGTAATACAGGAGTGTACCATTCGAAATACATGTTGTTAGGGTGCAAAGAAGTTAATGATTGAAGGTGATCTCTCAGTCCATCGCAGACTCGCTGTTCCATTACCTTGGAAGGTATGGATAAAGTCTCACCAGTCTGTACTTCTTTAGGCTGCTTCGTTGACCCTCTTTGTAGATTGGCGTCGTGTGGCCCAACTTCCAAGTCAGGCACTTTCCCTTGACTTCAAGAGTTCTTGAATAGCTTGCTTAAAAGTTCAAACAAGAGCGATGCTCCTTCATGTAGTACCGCCGCACAGGTTTCATCTGGTAGCGGAGAGGTGTCTTTTGTGAGCAGTAGCAGTTTGCGCTGTGCTAGCCCAGTTCTCAGGTCGATGACCAAGAGTCCCACTTCGTTGGTAGAATATTCATAATCCCCTGTGCAGGTTAACGATGACGAAAAGATTTATAAATACCGGTCAGCCAGGAGCCCTGCCGCTTCAACTTCACTGCCAGTCAGTCTGTCGGTACCCAGTAGTTGACAGGCTTCCGTTTCAGCCTGTCGGACCGAAATAGTGCGGCGGAATGGACTTTTTGCGTTATAAACAAACATTTTTGTCAGCCTGACTCCATACCCGCTGATTGGCTCTCAGTGGCTTCGTACGTGTGCATCTTGCCTGTTTAAACTGTCCGTAAGTGTATTTAGTGCTGATCCTTTCATGTTCGGTCCACTGTTATCTCTTCGACCCTGGTGGTTTGCTAGGTAGTTCCCTATTACCAAGGGCAACTTGAAGCACTTCGGCCTTGAAAGTGGAACAGATTGGTTGATTGCATACGTGATCTTGCCAAGTATGGATCCCCGGTGCGCGTCCATATCCTGCCAGTGCTATTAGAAGAACCTAGGTGCTTAGTCGTCTGACGTCCCGACGACGTTCATTGTGAGGTCTTGCTCGGTTGGTTTTGCAGACCAACGGAAAGCCGATAAAAACTTGGTCACTCCTACCCAAAGGGGGAAGGATTGCCAGGTTTCCGATCAAGAATTCTTCATTTGTGAAGACGCAGTCTAAGTGAAGTGTTTGAGAGTCCCTTGATTGCTTCACTGTTCTCACATTTTCCGTAAGTCCCGGTTCCCCAATCAGGTGGAAGTGTCAGGCTTCGATGGAATCATCACTCCCGCCGAACGTATGGTCTCAAAGTTAACCTTCGGTGGGTTAAATTTGACCGGAATTATTATGCTTGCATACCGCAGTTTAAGAGAGCAACTGACTGCTTCTAGCACCTGGCCATCGCACCGTGAGTCAGCAGCCAGTCAGTTTTCAGTCACAGGAGCAGCACTCCGATCGACCCGTTTTAATCCTTGCAGAAGATGTCTCTGTGAAGGTCTAGCTCCTCTGTGAACGCACTGAACGAAAGTTCTGATACTGCTTGCCGAGGCAGACAGTTCCGGACAGTGGCTAAACGATGGGTGGAATGCCGATTTACGCTAAGTTAACTCGACAGCGGCTTTTGGATTTTCTCGTGGTGCCGTCACAGGCTCTCAATCCTACCAGGGGGAAAAAATGAGACAAATTATCACCGATATGGAATGCCAGTGTGGAACTGTATCGACCAGTAAACTTGGTTACGATTTCTATATACTGTATACTCTGTGTTCACCGCTGTTTGCCACTGACTGACGAATAACTTTTAATCTACCTGTTGAATTTCGCCCGCTTGATTTACCCACCAGAGTGCTTGGAATAAACATCTTGTATTTCTGCCACTGCCTTCTTATTTGTCAAGTTGTGGTTTTCTGAGGCAATTTGTCCCAAGCGTGAGCCATAAGCCCCAGGGTCCAAATAGATCATCCCGTTTCCTACGGTAAAACGGTGGGGATAAGTTTGGCCGATCTAGTCGTTCCTCATAAAGCAGATTCTAAGGGCTAGCTACGAGCTTAGTACAATAATAGTAACAAGCAATTCTTGCAAATACAAGCAAGCACCAGTTTACAGGCTTGATTATGAATAAATAGATAAATATTTTACTTTTATATTGGTAATTTAACATGAGAGAAACCAGTTTTCAGGCATCATCACACTGACACGTGTTGAAAAATCTGCACGATTTTACGGAACCCTAATGGCGCGGAGGGTAGGTCATCAAACTCAATTAAAACATCTGAATGGTCCACAGGTTGTGAAATGAACAAGAAACTACCACTTTTTGGCGTATGCAGGGTGCAAAAGTTCGGACCATTTCCAGTCATACTTTCTCTTCACCACTGTGGTACCAAGGTCAAGTAAAATTCCAAATTTCCGTTACAAGCAGCCGACATGTTTGATTCGTCTTCGCAATGCACCGTCACGCTATACAAACGTTTGTTTTACCATAAATTCCTATGCATATATCTTCGGAGATCGAAAGAACCCGAGTTGACTATTTCGCGAATTGGTGAGTTTCCACATAACCATGCAATCCAGGGGGCTATCTATTCAAGTGTGGCCGTTCACAACAATGTAGATTTACATCATCAGAATTAGACTTTGTGGTACAAAGGAATAAACATTTGAAGAACTGCAGACCAATGGGAATGGGTTTTCCAAACTATTCACGTTAAGGTATGCAGCATTATCAAAGACGCATACTCACTGTTGGATGAAGCACCAGAGAAGTCTGTTGCGTGGCATTGTTGTGAATGTTTTAACTTTTAAATTCAATAAGTGAGTTGATCTCTTGCATTTTACTCTCTCTGGATTTTCGTTGCCACTATGACTGCCCAGGAATTTGAGTACTTAGAAGAATGATAAATGGGGTTGATAATTCTCATTTGTTAGGCAGTTATTTTCATGAGAGCACAGTTTCATTGCTTCGCAAAATAATGGAATGTTGGAAATCAGTAACGGATATTCTTCATTTGTGTTCTGTTGTCATCGTTGAAGGTCATCTCGGTTAAGTGGGTCTTCGAAGTTTCCAGCTAAGTCCTTTGTTATATACTTGTACCCATATGTCACTTTCAGCTGGTAAGATTTCACTGCCCAAAGATAACCGGCAGGTTTGCGTAGGCAGAGTTGATGTACAGAATGGAATAGGAAAATGAATATCCAATGTCTCTACACACAACTGTTGTTCAGGAGGATGAATTTCATATATATTTCACGAAAAAAAACAAGGCAAGAAAATTGTTACATGCCTTGTTGGAAATAATACATTTCGAAGACAGAGAGATAAAAGCATGCGCACCACATAACTCATCAAGAGTTGTCTGGATAATTGTATGTCATAGGCTCAAAGCAGGAAATTATCTATATCACGGTAATCGTCTGGTTGGACAGTAGCAGAGACATTCTGAACAGACGATTAAACCAGAGACCAATTTATGTATTAGCTCAGGACGTCATTGACCTGCAACGGCTCCAGAACTCTGTACCAACAGACCTTTTCACATGAAACTTGCCGGGCATCAAATACACTTCTCGAATGATGCCGTCTACGCCAATGCAAAGGATACCTGAAGTCTGTGTATAAATGCTGCCACTTGGACTATCGACTGTTCCAATGTCTATTTCCATCCAATACAACAAATATTCCCAGCAGAATTAATCTGTATTACCTTTAAACGTAACGTGGTGACCCGGAAATGCGTTGACATGGCCATTCACCTTGGTTGTTTGACTGCGGGTATGTTGTTGATGCTCCGGATCGTATAAATGGGTCCTTTGTGGCTAGCAAAACTAAAAACTGAAGACCATTCTAGGCAATAAACTGTTATATTACTAATTAGCAAACTATGCGAATGGGCTATCAACGTAGG